CTAACACTGCAGCAGGGAGATGCGTGTCATAAAGCGTTTGATTTAGATAGGCTTCGTGCCAGCTTTTAGAGGGACTTCTCGAAACGTGAAATCTTGTACGGAATCACCACAGCACCTCCCGTGGTCTCCTGGAGAGAAAAAAAAAACCCTGCTCGGTTCTGCGGGATGAGGCACAGACAGAGCCCGGTGACACCGGACACCTGAACCCCCAAAACCCCAAAATCCCAGACGGGCGAGATGACAGCGCGATTTTACACCTTGTTTTGGGGTTTTTTTTCGCCTCAGGGTTCTTTCAGCAGGGTGTTTTGAAGCCATGGCAGCGTTGCCCGGGTCTGATCCCGGCTGGCCACACGTAGGAGCTGTTGCTTTCCTTACGGAGCATCCCGRGCCCGGCAGGTGGCACCGGGACACCGCTGTCACCGAGCGCCTCTGCGACACCCAGCAGAGCCCGTCAGACAGAAAACCTCCGCTATTAACCCATTCTGCTCAATGTGTCACCCTTTGCAGGCAGATAAATGCGGAGAGAGGAGTTGCCGCTGTCGCAGCTCAGGGCTCGCACGGTGCGCACTCTCGAGAAGAATTAGCACGGGGAATAAACTCAGAATTTCTGCTTTACAGATGTGTCTGTTCTCTGTTCCATCTCTACAGCTKCGAAGATGCTGCTTGTAAGAAAGGAATAGGAATTTAAGAAGGAAAATGAAAAAGGGAAAATGGAAAATAGCAGARCGGGTCTCATTTGTGCTCCGTGCCCTCCCGGGACCCCAACCCCACACACAATCAGCCAGGGAATGTCTGGCTGTGAATACCCAGGGGTGAGAGGGACAGCTGCCACCTGAAGTTGAGCAAATCACACTGAATAAAAGTCAGAAGCTCAAAACAAAGACAGGGATCTCACCAGATTGAGCTCCCGAGCATTGCCTGCGGATCTGTGCTCTGTGCCCTGAACGCTCAGACACCACAACTTCCATGGAAACACTTCCCAGTTATCCTCTGTACCTAGCAGAGAAACACGCAGATTTAAACCTCATTTCCTTTATTTCAAATCAACTCATTCGAAAAGTCTCATCAGGAGAGGATGTGGTCCTCAAGAAAATTAAAGCAGCTGCCATGAGGTGGCAGATGCTGATCAGCGATTGCCCCGATTGCTTTTTCTTTCTCTCGGGCTCCAGGTGAGCTGTGTCCCTCAAACCCCTGCCCAGCAGAGATGTTKCAAGCAGAAATTGGGGTGCTGGTATTTGCTCCTATCCCAGCTCCCTTTTGGAGGGCTCTGCTGGCACAGAAATGGCTCTATTGGATGCTGCAAGGAGCAAAACCCTAAAGGAGCAAAACCCTTAAGGAGCTGATTTTGTGCCATGACATTTTTGCTTTGGATAGAGGATTTCACAGGCTAAAAAAAAAAATTAATTTTTATTTAAAGAGTGTTCACGAGTCCTCTGAATGACAGAGGGATAGAGTCTGATCCACCCCAGTGGGGTCACAGGGTGTGACAGTCAGACAAGAATCCTTTCCATAATCTCCAGTAGAATATAACTGAAAAGGTGCTGAATGTTCATATAAAATAGTTCAACATTTAATTGACTTTTTTTTTTTTTTTTTGTTAAGCAGAAAGACAGATTTGATGTGAAGGATAAAATGCTTGGCTTGATTTCAGAACAGTGATCTGAATCTTCATGTCAGATAAATCAARTCAGATAAATCCTTATAACTTTATCAACATAACTGGGCTGATATCAACAGATCGTGGGTGCACTTCAGTCTCTTCTGCTCCTGTGGGTGAAAAGCAATAGAAAATTAATCCTAGAGCAAGGAAAATCCTTATTTTTCATCYCTWRRTAACTGTCCARTGAAAGCTCAATTAACCCACASTGTGGCAAACCTGTTTTGATGTGCTGTGAGATATTTAGTCACTCCACTTGTCCTTGTCCATGCACATGCGAATTTCTTCATATTATTAATGGTGAAATCACTTAAAAACAGGAGGAAAAAAAACACAAAATGCTTGATTAAAATGTGTGTTTTCCTGAACAGGGGCTATAAGCTAATTGTGGCTGGCAGAAATCAAATTATTATTGGCGATAGCAAAGCATTTAAGCTGAGAAATCACAAAGTGAGAKCTGCAGCTTCTTGTTTTACTGCTCATGAAAATTATGGGCTACCTTCTTTCTCTCCTCATTGCCAGTAAATGAGGATTTTCCTGGTCTGGCTCAGCTGGAATGTTTGTCTCAAATAAACCTGTGTGGGGTGGGATGTCAGGAGTGCATCACTATTCCTGGGGCACTGCTGTGATCGTGTTACCAATCTGTGRGCAATAAATCAGTTTTGCTCCTCAATTCAGCCCACTTTTTCTTGATTTGCATTCATAACCCTGCTACCTTGGGATGGCTGGACACACGTAGCTGCTTYTCTAGGATTTTCTTCTGTGAGCTGGGAATGGGTGGAGGAATTCTGCCCAAATTTGCAGGCTTGGTGGCAGAATTAATCACAGGAACCATCATGGTCATAAGTAACCACTCCTGAATTGTGTGCAAAACCAGAGGTGTCCAGGTCTCCTGAGCACTGAATAAGATGTTGGGTGAGGGAGGCAGAGGGGACTTGGATGAKGAGAAAAGAAAGGAGTCTCTAAAATTACCTTGGCAGGATCTGCCTRAAAAGGCCCTGCAGAGCTCTTTGCCCGATTCAACTGGGGTGCAACCAGAGAGAAAAAACCCTGAGGTTTCCCGGAGCAGCTTTTGTTGTTTGTTTTGCTTTTTCAGGCTTCTTTCAGGTCTGCAAATCTGGGTCACATCATGTGTGAAGGCAGCAAATKAAGTCAACTCTAAATTTTGATTTTTGTTTTTGWTTTTCTTGGGGAATACAGGCCTTCCTCCAAAGAAGATRCTTGAATACCAGTCAGGCACCTGGTGAGCAAACCAGCTGTTCACAGCTGCTCTTTCCATCTCTCTTTTTCATTGTTTG